TGACCCAGAACTGAACTGCACCAATCAGGTGTGGTCTCACAAGAGCAAGATACAGTTTGAGGATGACCTCATAGTCTTGTAACTAACACTCCTTTGTATGAACCCAGGCCACTTTATTAGCCTTGTTACGAGCAAAAACACATTTATTTTTACTTAGCTTAAGGTTCCTGCTGTCATTCTAATCTCGCAGTCAGTTCTCTATGGCATCGTTGTTCATCACGGTATCTGGTTTCCCTGTTTGCATCTCTATACTAGGCACTTTTACATTTGTCCACGTTGAACTTCATCTGCCATTTTCCAGACCAAATTCGAAGAATTTGTTTAAGATCTTCCTGTAGTTTGCGGAGTCCTTGTCAGATTTAACCAAACACGTCCTATTTTAGTGTCATCAGCAAATTTACTTATCTTGTTGTCTATGCCGTCTATGTCGTTTATGTAAATAATAATGGTCCAAGTACTGAGCCTGGGGAACTCCACTATGTAGTGACGTTGCTCCAATGGGACTTAGTGCCATTAATGCTCCTCGCTGTTTCCTGTTATCCTGCTTAACCACGCCCTAATCCATTTAAGGATGTACTGATGCCATGTGATTCTACCTTTCTAATTAGTCTTTCGTGGGGAATCTGTCCCGAAACTTTGCTTCAAGTCGAGATATACCCACATCATAATTGCGCCCTTTAAGTCACGATTCCGAAAGCAGTGAAAAGAATGTTAATAGATTAGTTGACATGACGCCCGCTTGTGAAATATCAATAGAATCATTGATCAACTTGTGTGCTTCTCAGGTGGTTTGGAATAGGTGTTGTGGAATTGATTTCTAAATGTGGTACCCTGCACCTATTGATGTTTTAGGCTGATTATGGGTAGTAGTTAGAGGATAGTGATCTATCCCCTTCTTTAAAAATCGGTATTACATTACTTCATCCTCCAGGATTCTGGTACTACACCTGTATTTAAGGACATGTTAGCTGCTTTGCCAAGGGCATACTAAGCTCTTCCTTACATTCCTTTAATACTCTGCAGCAAATATATCTGCATCGGGACCAGGTGACTTATTACTGAAACTGAATTTATCTATTTTGCTTTTCATCGCTACTAGTCACTTCCATCAACCATTTGACATTCACTATCTCTATCTCTGAATAGAGTCGGTGCACTCAGTATCGTGTTTACATTTTCCGGTGATGAAAACTGTTGTTGAAAAATATTTATTCAAATTATTGCTCATTTCTCCGTCGAATTTGTCAGTGGAAGCTCGCCGGTATCTGACAGTATTGGTCAATCTTTTCTTGTGTTTGGTTTGATGCATTTGAGTAGAATCCTTGGGGTTTATCTTCACTTTCCCTCGCTATCCTTACCCTCCATTATTCTCTTGGCTTTCCTTATCTCGGTTTAACCCAATACCTTATAATAATCATAAGGTAGAATTTTGCCCATGATTTATCCTTCTACCTACAGCCTTCCTTTGGCGATGATGTTCTTTAAATAATTATTTATTTATCCATTTGGGTCATTTGTCTGATCTGAGTTTTTGTATGGTATGTTCTGCCTTTATGCATTAAGCGCTCTATTATTTAAATTATCGTGGAGACTCAGCAATCTCAGATCTCGTTATCAGGTCGGTGTCACCTTAACCAGGTTTCACGCCAAGCGCGTCACCCTTCTCTCAGCTGCCTCTTTACCCTGTCAAGGTTTGCCCTTCTGAAATCTAGCGGTACTGGTGGAATTTTCTTTACGTCTGCCCTGAAAATCTAACTGGAATCTAATTTCTTTGTGATCGCTGTTTTGCAGTGCGTTCCCTACCTCGACATTACTAATAGGAACTTTCTCTGTTCGACGAACTAAATCACGATATATTACTACCCCGTGTGGGGTTCTAGGTTATATATTGACTTAGGAAGCAGTCTGGATCGTTCGAAAATCACTCTGATTCTGAGTTACCTGTAAGGTCAGTCCAATCTATTTGTGCAAAGTTAGTAGCACTTGTATACAGACTTTTACAGTATTATTATGAAGCCTGTGCATTTCATCAGATAAATTCCTCACAGCTCTATCAAAGATTGGGAGATTTTCTCTTGCTCCTGTGATTAAGCCCTAGATTATCCTGACATAGATTGCTACTCCGCCTCCTTTCCTGGTCTCTTGCTATCTGAGGTATGGAACAATTTACAACCACAATTTGGTATTCGACCAGTAACTCACGTGAGTCTAGGTTGATCCATATTTCAGAAGTAAGAATACTATTATGTCGATTTTTCGGTACATACTAAAGCCCCAATATCATCCATTTTGCTTCTCATACTTCCTACTGTTGTTCCGTAGTAGACATTTAAGTTAGTCGTGTTCCTGAGTCCTCCTTTACCGCGTTTAGGTTTAAACTCCTAACTCTGCTTTAGTTTTGTCGTCTGTTCTAACACTATTCCCTGTAATCTTTTCATTTTGTTTACCGCTCCCTGCAGTCTCCTCCACCCCCGTGCCTCATGTTCCCCTAGCAGTTTAAAGACTTCATTATCTTTTGGTTGCCCCCTCTGAGGCCAGCCAGGGTTGCCACCATCTGAGACAGAATTTTATACAACGCCAGGTCCTTCGTGAGGGTCATGGTAGTTGTGAGGGTATGGTAGTTGTGAGGGTATGGTGGTTGTGAAGCCATACAAAAAAAATCCCAACTAACCTAACCTAACCTAACCTTATACTGTACCGACCTGCGTGACCCGACTCGACCTAACCTTACCCTGAACTGACCTAACCTAACCTGGATATATTACAGGTAGGTAAGCTAAATTCGCTTATATCCCGAGAGTAAAATTCCCAGTACAATCGTTTGGGAGTATTTACACAGCAACTCTCTCATCCTGGGGAAAAAATAAAGCTCGCCACAAACTTCTCTTCTCCCTCCCTCCCTCCCTCCCTCCCTCCCTCCCCTCTCTCCCATCTCTGTGCCTCCTTAACCACCCGTCTCCTCCCTCCCCTTCCTATCCCTTTCCCTTTCATTCTCCTCTATTCCATTTCCCTTTCCCCAACCCTTCCCTCTAGCCATCACTCATTTTTTCCCTCCCCTTCCTCCTCTTCTTCCTTTCCTTTCCCTCAATCTTCCTCCTTTTTCATTTCCTTGAACCCTTGTCCACCCACCCCTTTTTTTACCTCCCCCTCAATTTTCCTTTTCCCCCCTCTCTCTCTGTCTCTCTCTTTTCTCCCTATCCTTTCCCCCAGCCCGTCACGTGACCCCGATGACGTCAAAATTGGGGTCAGGGAGCTTGGGGTCTTTGGGGAGCAAACTTCCTGGTACAGGGCCCTCGGTGTTTACCTGGGGAGGGGAGGGGACGTGGGAGGATAGTGGGAGGAGAGGTGGGAGGAGGGGGTGGAGAGAAGGGACGAGAGAGAGAGAGAGAGAGAGAGAGAGAGAGAGAGAGAGAGAGAGAGAGAGAGAGACACTTAACACCCCAAAAATAATAGAAATAATGACCAATTAAGGGAAATTTTTGTCCAAAGAGGAAAAATCAAGAAGTATGAAACAAAGAAAGTGGTTCAGTGGCCGACGATGAAATTACCTAGTTTAATTACCTTCTCCTCCCCCCCCTGCCTCTCGCCCTCTTTCTTCTCTCACCCTCCCCCCCCCTATGTCTCTCATTCTTTCTCTTCTCCCTGCCCTCACCTTCTTTCTTCTCCCTCCTGTTTCTCACCATCTTCCTCACTCTCTTCCCTCTTCTTCTTCTCCTCCTCCTCCTCTCCTCTCCCCCTTCCCTATAACATGAACCCAATCAACTCTCCCAGAAAAGCGTAATTACCTTTCCAGTAGACAAAAGAGACGCCTGGATTACCTTACCGACACGATGAAGAGATTTCTAAAACATTATTTATACTACCTTAATACCTCTAAATACTCTTAGATCACATTACACTCACTACTATATTAACTTACCTGTTTAATAAAGGTAATTGGGGGACTTTATTTAAATGATTAGATTACCTTTCGGTTTTATATTTACATTAGTGATTGGGTCAGGTTAGGCCAGGTCAGGTCATATCAAGTCAGGTTAGGTTAGGTTAGGTTAAGTGACCCTTCAAAAAATGTATTAAAACTCTGTAGTGAAGTTATACCTTGAAGATAACCTCAAGTTGGAGATCTAAACAAAGAATATTTTAATTCCGTATTTCCTGGAATTCCTTATCGACTCGAGTTTAAGATGTTCTCATAAATTAGTTTCCTTCACGTCGAGATGTTTGGTCGACCATAATATTACTAAATGATATTAATAAAAGAGTCAAGTTACCATGTTGACTTTTGTGCCTGAAAAATCAACAATGGAAAATCAACAGAATCATAGTGGCGGTCAGGGTACGTACATAACTCTCTCTCTCGTGTGTGTGTGTGTGTGTGTGTGTGTGTGTGTGTGTGTGTGTGTGTTTTAGAGCTCTACACAACAAAACACACATACACACACACACACACACGTGATAAAACAAGCAACTATGAAATAAAAATATATAAATTTAATATCAGGGTCTACAGTATGTCACGAGCAGATAGACGTCATTATACAGAACTTTTATAGAATGTTTATAGATGGCGCTTAATGGGGTGGGGGTATAGTAAGGGTCCCTAAAGTTAAGGATGTCAAGGATAAAATCAAGGAGTCCTGAAGTCAACTCAATGTTTACTACACCTTAGGAACCTGGGAAAAACGCCCCCGAGACTGTACTAAGTGTGACTCACCTCTCCCGGCCAGGTAAAGGTGCAGCCCGCCCCTCACTCACTCACCTGGAAACAGAAACATGAAGTATTAGGGACGTAAAGGTCATTATTGACTCAAACACTCGTGATGGTTTATTAAATGTGGACGTGTTTGTAGTGTATTGGGGTGTGAGTGGTACAGCTCTTACACACACACACACACACACACACACACTTGTAAATACTCTCTCTCTCTCTCTCTCTCTCTCTCAATAATACAACAAGAGGAAGAAGAAGGATTTATTGAACTACAAAAACGACAACAAAACTATTTTTCATCACAAACACTGTCGTCACACTCATCACAAACACTGTCGTCACACTCATCACAAACACTGTCGTCACACTCATCACAAACACTATCGTCACACTCATCACAAACACTATCGTCACACTCATCACAAACACTGTCGTCACACTCATCACAAACACTGTCGTCACACTCATCACAAACACTATCGTCACACTCATCACAAACACTATCGTCACACTCATCACAAACACTATCGTCACACTCATCACAAACACTATCGTCACACTCATCACAAACACTATCGTCACACTCATCACAAACACTATCGTCACACTCATCACAAACACTATCGTCACACTCATCACAAACACTATCGTCACACTCATCACAAACCATAACTGTTAACAACGCGTTTTGCCATTATTAATATAGTTTAAATATTTTGCAAGAAAAAATATGATACAAGAGGAAATATTTTGTAGGCGAAAATACTACACCAACCCTTTTATTTATTTTTTTTACAAGTGAAAGTCTTTAAAAAATCCAGGAAATTAGTATACATAATAAATGATAAGTTACTTAGCAAGAAAAGCCGCTTACAAACACAACAAAATCAAACACAAAAATGGCAAGAGAAATTATTTTAATAAAGACAATTAATACTTAACACGAAAATTTCCAAGAACAGTCAAAGTAGAAAAGTTTCAAGAGATCAAAACTTCAGGAAACACAAATAACACATTGTAGAGGGCTGACACCTGACAACTTCTTACTTTCTCAAACTTTGCATTCCTCCCCCCTCACGGCACCTCACACACGGCCAGATATTTTGACGGTAAAACTTGTAACTGGACCGTGTGTGTGTGTGTGTGTGTGTGTGTGTCATTCCCTTCATACACAGTGGTCATCCCTCTCTCACACACACATACACAAAGTTGTCACACCACTTCCCTCTCTAATACAATGTGGTCATCCCTCTCACCTCTCTCACTTCTCGCCCCCCTCTCATACATAGTGGCAATTCCTTTCACCACTTTTCCCCTATCATCCCTCTCCACTTCCCTCTCACACATACGCACGAATTACTTATCCCTCTCATCCCTCCCTCACATACACTAGTTACCCCTCCCCTCTCTCCTCCACTCACCTATCACCTCTCCATCACCCCTCCCTCCTATGAACATCCGTATCCCAGACCCCTCCCCTCTCACTCTCCCTCTCTTTCTCCCTCTCACACACACACAAATCCCCATTCTCTCCCTGCTACTCTCACCTAACTCCTGACCCTTTGCAACCTCTCTCTGCCTCCCTCTCCCCTTTCTCTTACCCCTTTGTCTCTCGTTTTTAAGTTCTCTCTCCCCAAAACCCACTCCCCACTCCCCTCTCCCCAACCCGTCTCACACCCACTCCCCTCTCCGTCTCACACCCACTCCCCTCTCCCCTCTCCGTCTCGCACCCACTCCCCTCTTTCCGTCCCTCTTTACTCTATCTCTTCCATCTTGTTTCCCCTTTCTTTTAAACTCTCTCACTCCTCTCCTTTATTTACCTACCTTACTCCTTTCCCCTCTCTCCCTATTCCTTCCCCCTCCTCTATTCTCTCTACCTCCCCTTCTATCTTTCTCTCCCCCTTCCCCCTTTTCCCTCTTCATCTACCCTCCCCTTTCCTTCAACTCCTATATACTCCCCCCTATCCCTCTCTCTTTCCTCTCTAATCATCTACCTTCCTCCTATTCCCTCTCCCTTACCCCCTCTTCTCATCTACCTCCCCCCCTTTCCACCTGTCGGACACTAATGAGCACAGGTAAATCAATTTGAGAACTGCTCGACCATTTTCTGATTTATGGTCCTTGGCTGAAGACATAATTTGTTGTTGTAATGTCTCTCTCCCTCTCTCTCTCTCTCTCTTCTTGTTTGAGAGAGAGAGAGAGAGAAAGTGTGTGTGTGTGTGTGTGTAATATTTCTCTCCTCAATACTTTTTGTCTCTCCCCACGCGTCTTCTCACCATAGGGGGTGGGGGAGGGCAGGGGGGAAGGGGTTAGGTTAGGGGTAGGGGAAGGGGGGTTAGGCTGGGGGAAGGGGTTAGGTTAGGGGTAGGAGGGAAGAGATCTATTGCTTCTTTCTTTATTTCTTTATCAAATTTCCATAGATCTAAAATTAATGTTGAGGTTGTTTACAAAAGGGGTTCAGGAGCTGCCACAAACACAACACATTATTAACCCTGGAAACCCGGACAACTCACAAACTGCACTGGCTGGCTGACCATATAAACACCCCCATAACCCCCCACATACCCCTCATCCCCCGCAAACACCCCCCACCCCCGCCACCCGGAACTAGATCCACTGAGAATCGATTTACTTCGGGTTTCCCATTCTCCAGGTACACAGTGGCGGGTCGAGCAGCGGAAACTTGTACCAGAAGTTCAGCTCCGCCTCCTGGGGAAATCGAACCCTGGGTCCTCTCGCTCGTGTGGCGGAAAAAAATATGACCAGAAGAGCCAAGCAGCAGTCAGTGTGGCAGACGGGAGGGCGGGTAGGGGGGTGGGAGGTGGGAGGAGGGGGGAGGGGTGGGGAGAGGTGGGGAGGGGGATTGAACCTGTGTCCTGGTCGTGTGTGTGTGTTACTCACTCCTGTCTCATGGGTGTAAGCTTGTCCGGTGAATTACCGAACAAGCTTATTGAGTGTTATATTAATTACTGAAGATTAAGCTTATTGAGTATTATATGAACATTAGGGGATGGTTAAGCTTACTGAGTAATATATGTATCATTACTGAAGATTTATTAATTGAGTATTATAATTATTACTAAAGTCTTACATGAACAGTATACGTCCTACCAATAAGTCTTAAGTCATACAACAATACTCACCTGTCTTAACCCTTCCACAAGACTAAGGACAGGTATTATTGATATATTACAGGTGTTAAAGTCTTTCATATACAATAATTAAAAAACACGTTAAATTATAAATATTACTAACAATTTTAACACCAAACAGGAGACGCTTGGGAGAGGAATCTATCTGCCACAGGTATTTTGATTACGTGTCTATGACGTGGCTATGACGAATTAGTGACGTGTAGGGATTGAAGCATCTACCAGACTCTCTAGTGAGGTAACTATGACGTCATCAGAGAAAGCATGGAGAAGTGACGTATCAATGTCGCGGAAGTGACGTGTCAATGACGCGGAAGTGACGTGTCAATGACGCGGAAGTGACGTATCAATGACGCGGAAGTGACGTATCAATGACGCGGAAGTGACGTATCAGTGTCGCGGTAATAATGTCTTGGTTCCGCCTCTTAACATATTAATCGCACAAAAATAGTCACGAGACAAAGTTCTTGAGATAGTTTGTTACTAAATCAAAAACTAGCAAGAACTGGCCCCTGGTCTTCCCCCGCGAGCAACTTACTCTAAAGATTAACTTGACTAAAAGTTTAAGGCGATAGAGAGAATCTTTATTAAGTTAAGTAAACGTAATAAAAGACTTTACACTTTTGTTTTTTAATGATTTCAAGCAGTAGGTCAAATGGGCCCCAAGTCCTAACAGGCCCCTCAACCTAACCTAGCCAAACCACGAGAATTGGAACCCATTAGGACTATGGGTCTTTCCGGGTCTGAGTCCATTAAAACTTTGCTACGTTAAGGGCCCCAATTAGTACTAGGGCCTAAGAGGACTGGAGCCTATCATAAACACACCATGGCGGCGATAATTGCCAAAATGTCCCGCATATCAGGGGTCATTAGTGTTAATGAGGGTGCCAGAGTGAACAACCATTTAGACAAGAAGAAATATTAAAACAATTATAAACTGATATTAATATTATTTTGACCCCCCGTCGTAGATACTGTGAGGATATATAGTGTAATTCTTGTATGTTTGTTTGTCAGTCCGTCCTTAACTCACACGACCAACAGGAGACATCAGCTGATCTGTTGTTTACATAATAAGACAACCACGTGTTAAGTCAGCTGATCTATTGTTTACATGACCACCACGTGACAGGTCAGTGTCTCTCCTTATCTCACCACTTTTCTCTATCTGGCCACTTTCCTCCTTATCTCACTACTTCTCAGCCCACCAGTCTCTCCACTTCTCCTTGACGTCCACTTCTCCACCATAACACACACACACACACACACACACACACACACACACACACACACACACACACACACACTCCAACGTAAACAGTCATGGTGATGTTATACTTGTTCTTTAAGAGAGAAAATTCACCAACAATTAATTAACTGTCAACTTTCAGCAGCCAATTAGGTTCAAAATCTCAACATCCATGAACAGTTCGATCCAACCAATCACAAGCCTACATGAGACACTGTGGGCGGAGCTTCTCTTATCTTTCCATAACGAATACTAAAATTTCTCTCTCCTGTTTTTTTAGACGTGTTTTCTTAATCCTGAGTTAAGACCAAAGAAATCTAACGTGTACGAACCATTGAGAATCCTAACCTAACCTAACGTGTACGGGCCATTGATAATCCGTTTAGGTGTTGAAGGAAGACGGAGTAGCCGACCTTCCTTTCCTGGGATATTTTTCCGTGTAGTGGTAAAGTCAACATCCTTGGCGCGGGTCTCTCACTGTTTTATAGGGCGTCAACCCCCTCTGGCGGCAAGGTCGGCATCTTCTTTTATGTTTATGACGTGTTAGTGACGTGGATGTGGTATGTTGACTGCTTGTTTGTGACGTTGTTTGTAATGTGTTTGTGACGTGGTTGTGATGTGTGTGTGTGTGTGTCATGTGTATGGCGTGTTTGTGTACGGGACAGGTGATCCATCCCCAGAACCAATCACTGAGCGTCCTGTAATTTCACCTGAGCCTTTGACCCCCCTGACCTGGGTCAATCTTATTACTTCCTAATCTCTCGTTATCTATCAAACTTCCGTCATCTCTATATTTACGTCTTGACAGAGTTGACATTGATCTGATCCACGTGAACTCTGTGACACACACACACTCAGGCGTGGTGGGTGGGTCCTCCCTCAGGCGTGGTGGGCGGTCCTCCCTCAGGAGTGGTGGGCGGTCCTCCCTCAGGAGTGGTGGGGTGGGTCCCCCCTCAGGAGTGGTGGGGGGGTCCTCCCTCAGGAGTGGTGGGCGGGTCCTCCTCAGGAGTGGTGGGCGGGTCCCCCTCCTCAGGAGTGGTGGGTGGGTTCCTCCTCAGGGCGTGGTGGGTGGTCCTCCCTCAGTGGTGCGCGGCCCTCAGCCGGTGGGCGGGTCCTCCAGCCGTGGTGGGCGGGCCTCAGGAGTGGTGGGCGGGTCCTCAGCGTGGTGGGCGGTCCTCCCTCAGGAGTGGTGGGCGGGTCCTCAGCCGTGTGGTGGGCGGGTCCTCCCTCAGCCGTGGTGGGCGGGTCCCTCCTCAGGAGTGGTGGGCGGGTCCTCCCTCAGCCGTGGTGGGCGGGTCCTCCTGGTGGGTGGTGGCCCCTCAGCCGTGGTGGGCGGGCCCTCCCTCAAGCGTGGTGGGAGGGCCCTCCCTCAGGCGTGGTGGGAGGGTCCTGGTTGGCTGGCCGCTGAATTAACTTATAATACGGACATGGCCAACACTACCCCACGCATCTTAATGTAGCTCTTCTGCCCTCCTCCTCTCACCGCCTCCCACTACACACTTCTACTGCCTCCTCCTCTTCTTCTTCTTGCTACTACTCCTCTCCCTACCTCCTGATACTCCAAGTGTTGTTGTTGTAGTTGCTGCTGCTGTTATTGTTAAAGTTTGTGTTACGAGATGGCGCTGTTTGTGTGAGGTGAGGGGCGCTGTTACTACTGTTGAATCTCTGTGTTGATGTTGATGTGACTTATGGTTATTCTGCGGTTTTAAGACTAGTTACTATTTTGTTATTCTCACGTGCAGGTTGACACACACACACACACACACACACACACACACACACACACACACACACACACACACCCCTACGATAACTCTTAATTGTCTCTACCAAGTTTCATGATCCTTGAAGGAAGGCTGTAAGACGAGGTAATTTCACAGACTGGACGGACAGACAGACAGAAGGACGGAAGGATTGGAGGATGGAAGGAAGGAAGGGCGGAGAGAAGGACTGAGGGAGGGGAGGAAGGAGGGTAGGAGGAGGGTTGGAGGGAAGGAAGGAAGGGAGGGAGGAGGAGGAGGAGGGAGGGAGGGAGGGAAGGAAGGTTACTCATGTGTTGTGGCCATAATCAATCTCACCTGTAGAGGAGTGTGACCTAACCCCTTGTTAAATATAGCTTCTTCTCCCTTCCCTCCTCTCGCTCCCCCCTATAGCCCAGTCCTCCCTTCCTCCCCCCTTCCCTTCTACTCTTCCTGCCCTTCTTCCTCTTCCTCCCTTTCCCCCTCCTCCTCATCCCTCCCCCACAGCCTGAACACCCTCCCCACCAAACCCAAAGGGGGGGGGAGAGGAAAGAGGAGAGAGGAGAGGAGAGAGAGGGGGAGAGAGGAGATACCATCTGTTGTTTCTCTTCATGAGGAGGAGGAGGGACACCTGCCTGTCACATCCACCCTCAGAGGCGTGAAATAGAAGGGTGAGGGGAGGAAGGGGAGGAAAGGTTGAGAGGGAGGAAAGGGTTGAGAGGGAAGGAAAGGGGTGAGAGGAAGGGTAGAGAAGGAGGTAGATTATGGAGAGGGAAAAAGAGAGGGCGTTAAATAGGAACTTGGGGGGAATAGAGTGAAAGAAAGAGTGAGAGGAAAGAACGAGAAGAGTGAGGGAGGAGAGGTGAGAGTGAGGAAGAGACTGACTATGTGGTTTTAATTATACATATATAAAAGATGAATAAACAAACACAAATGTATAATAATTATGAACCGAAGTGTTTTTATATATAGTGATTAATCTTATCTATCTATCTATCTATCTATCTATCTATCTATCTATCTATCTAAACATTCACCTACTTTTCTAACTATCCATCTATCCATATAGCCATCTACCTATCTTTCTTTCTATCTATCAGTCTATCCATCCATCCATCCATCTATACATCCATCTACATTTTTAACTATCTATCCATCTAACTCTATCCATCTATCCTTCTTCAGGCAGACTCAGGAAAACTCAGTGGAGCGGAGAGACCCCGTCAAAGGGCTGAGGTGTGGACCCACCCTACCCTCCTTAATCAGCAGACACACAAGAAGCACCTGGCCTCAACCTCCCTGTTACCCCTCCCTGCCACGCCCATTACACCCTCCTGCCTCCTCCTTGATACGCCCCTGACACTCTCGCTGCCACGCCTTGAACACCCTCCTCCCATGCCCCGACACCTTTCCTGCCATACGCCCCTGACATCCCTGCCACACGCCCATAACACCCTCCCTGCCACGCCCCCTGACACATTTTCCTGCTACATTCCAGGGGTAAGCCCCATGGCCATAAGACAAAGGCCACACCTCAGAGTAACAGGAAGAGCCAGATCACACTCCTAGGCCACACAGAAGCAGGCCACACCCCAAGGTCACAGAAGGACAGGCCACACCCAGCCGGGCAGAAGGCAGGCCACACCCCAAGGCCACATAAGGAGGCAGGCCACACCCCAAGGTCACAGAAGGAGGCAGGCCAGACCCCAGGAGAAGGAGGCAGGCCACACCCCAAGGCCACATAAGGAGCGGCCAGAGGAGGAGGCAGGTCACGCCGCGGAGGTAAGAATGCCAGGAAGGAAACAATAGGGTTAATCCCTAGTATACCGGAGGCTGACCATCTGAGGGATCCCACCATGATTCTGGGAATGGACCAGGAATGGTTCTGGGAATTACCGTGGGGAGGGGGAAGGGGAGAGGAAAGGTGGTGAAGAGAGAGGGAACGAGGTAGAAGAGAGAGAGAGAGAGAGAGAGAACAAAGGGTGAGGAGAGAAACTGTTGGGTGGGGAGAGAGAGAGAAAAAAAAAAAAAAAAAAAAAAAAGAGAGAGAGAGGAGGTTATGTAGTAAACAGTCACTAAAGAAAAACTTCCCTCCGACAATCGTATCAACAGCAAAATGGAACAATTCGGAGACGCGTTTGAACAGCTCAGAGTCTCAGGCGTGAGAAGAGAGGTTATTTGTTCATAAAGTTCAAAGAATTGAGTCTCCTTGTGCATTGCAGGTACTACACCACTACCACCACCACCACCACCCTGACCCTCTACCACCACAATACCACCACCACCCTGCCCTACTCTAACTACCACCACACCACACCACATCACACCACACCACACCACCACTACCCCAGCAACGCGTCACTACCATCTTAACACCTCACAGTATAAATAATGGTGAGGCAATAATCCACAAGTTGGCAACACTGCTGAGAGCTGCCTTACACTCACAATTTAAGACAACTCCTCAGCCCAAGGTCGACCACTGGCCTCCACCACCACCTCGAGGAACAGGGGCAGGATGACTAAGAAAGAGGGAAGGCGAGGGATGGGAGAAGTAGGTAAAAATGATGGGAAGAATATTGAAGGGGACTCTGGCACTGACTAGGTGAATAATGATCACCAATTGCTCATTTAACACCTGAATGATGGTGACGCACTATCAAGAGTCACCGTCACTTTACCACTGAGGTCTTGGTTTACATTTGACTCACTATCACAGGTCACTAACGCTGTTCTCCACTTAAACATCATCACCATCAACACCATCACATCCCCATCACCACCACCACCATCAACACCATCACATCCCCATCACCACACATACCATCACCACCGCATCACTATCACCATCAAACCATTACCAACAGTCACCATCTCATCCCCGGCAGTAGTCACCATCAGTCTGCTTGGTGACCATTCACATTCCTGGTGCGGTGGCGTAGTGGTTATAAAACTGGGCAAGCATCCAGAGGTCCTCTGTCCGTTCCTCTGCACCAGACAGGAGACCGCTTTAGATTGATAACCAACAGTAAGTACAACGTAACATGACAGACAAACAGACAAATAGACAGACAGATATGACACCAGTTTATCGTGCTTAACTGGTTCACGGGAAAGAAGAGAGAGAGAGAGAGAGAGAGAGAGAGCTACGTGACGCTAATTCCCGGCTTCGTGTGTATTAACAGTAAATGCTCACTTAAAGCGGCCACTAAGCTAACTAATTCTCGGAAATAGAGGAGGCAACGAGCACACACAAAATTCCCACAAAAAGAACCCCCAAAATTCCCATAAAACAAACAGAAATTCCCACAACAGAACCAAATTAATTCCCACAAAAGAAAACAAAAATCCCATAAAAATCTAAATAAATCCCTTAAAGAAATCAAAATCCCCGAAAGAGGATTTTTTTTATACCTGTGTAAAGATTAAAAGAGAAAAAAAAAATACTTGGAAAATTTAAATGTATATTACTCGCTGGGTAATTGCTTATCTATCGTGTACCTTAACCCCCAGTGACCTTTAAATAGTAATTAATGTAAGTGTGTATAATGACTCTCTCTCTCATTTGTCTCTTCCCTGCCTACCCTTTCCCTTCCTTAATCTCACCTCTCCCCACCTCCCCTGCCCTCCTTCCCTCCTCCCCACCTGCCCTTCCCTCTTCCTCTCTCTCACACTCCTTTCCCCTCATCTCACTTCCTCCCTCCCTCCTCCTCCTCCCCTCCTCTCCCTCCTCCTCCTCCCTTCCTCCTCTCTCCCTCTCCTCACCCTCCTCCCACTCTCCCTCCTCCTCTCCTCACTCTCCCTCACGTGCTCGTCACCGTCACGCCGCTGTCGAATCCAATTCCATTTAGCATTAAGAGTGATGCGGTAGAATGTGTCGTGGAGAGGTAGTGGGAGGTAGTCGTGGGAGGTAGTCGTCGGGAGGTAGTCGTGAGTCGTGGGAGGTAGTCGTCGGGAGGTAGTCGTCGGGAGGTAGTCGGGGAGGTAGTCGTCGGGAGGTAGTCGGGAGGTAGTCGGAGGTAGTCGGGAGGTAGTCGTGGGAGGTAGTCGTCGGGAGGTAGTCGGGAGGTAGCCGGGAGTAGCCGGAGGAGAGGTAGTGGGGAGGTAGTCCGGGAGGTAGTCGGAGGCAGGTCGTCGGGAGGTAGTCGGGGAGGTAGTCGTCGGGAGGTAGTCGTCGGGAGGTAGTCGTGGAAGCGTCGGGGAACCGGGAGAGTAGTCGGGAGGTGAGCCGTGGGGAGGTAGTCGGGAGGTAGTCAACAACAAAACAACAACAAGTCGGGAGGTAGTCGCGGGAGGTAGTCGGGGAGGTAGTCCGGGAGGTCGTCGGAGAAGGTCGGGAGGTAGTCGGGAGGTAGTCGGGAGGTAGCGGGAGGTAGTCGGTGTGGGGAGGTAGTCGGGAGGTGGTCGTGTGAAGTGGTTGGGAAGGTGGTCTGGGGAGGGAGTCGTCGGAGGTAGTCGTGGGAGGAAGTCGGAAGTGGTCGAAGGTGGTCGAATGGTCTCGTGAGGAAGAGATCGGGGAGAGGTCGTGGGAGGTGGTCGTGGGAGGTGGTCGGGGAGGTGGTCGGGGGACGGTAGTCGTGGGAGATGATTGGGGAGGTGGTCGTGGCGGTCGGGAAGGTGGTCGGAGTGGTCTCGTGAGGAAGTGATCGTGAGTCAGTGATCGTGAGGAGGTGGTCGTGGGAGAGTCGGGGGAGGGAGGTAGTGGGGAGGTGGTCGTGGGTGTCATCTGTCTGGATGGCTCGTGGGTGGGGGGTTGTGCACCGTCAGGGTTGGCCAGAAGTGGTCGGGTAGTGAAGGGTACAAGATGATTGGGAGGCGAGAATTGCACATTAGATGAGAGAGTCGTAGATTGAACGGGATCGAAAATGACCAAAGGGCGAGTGAAGGCGGGGCTTAATGGCCAATGAGTCAGGGGTGGCCAGGGGTAGTCACGAATGATCAGCGGTGGCCAGGAGGTCGTCATGGTTGATTAGGGGTGGCCAGGGGTCGTCATGGATGATCAGAGATGGCCAGGAGGTTGCAGATGATCAGGGGCGGCCAGGAGGTCATCACAGATGGTCAGGGGTCGCCAGGGGGTCGTCAAAGAAGGTCAAGAGTGGCCAGGGACAGCATTAAAAAGTGGTTAATAATTTAAAACAGGTAAGACACGACTCTGATACAGTCCTTCTCAGGTCGTGTGCCTCAATGTGTACCGACACACACACACACCACAGAGGTACTACTCCCTATAATATCAGTAATAATCAAATAATAACCTTTGAAAAATATATAAAAAATGTGTCGAAAAACTCAGTCCAATATCACGGTAGGTGAGCATTATACTCTTATAGCACACAGCGTTTTGTTACCTAATGGATATCAAACTATTGTTAACCTTCTTTATTTTTCCCAACGTCAACAGAACGCCACTGTGTCTCCCGTCCTATGTAAAGTGAACACCATCTAACAATCCTCAGTACACAACATTGCCCTAAAAAAGTTTACTTAATATCCACGAGTAAACAAAATACTACACCACCTCCATATTTTTTCCCAGTAAAAGCATTCCCCCCCCCCTTCACTTACCCCTCACCACCCCATTCCCACCTCACCCCCTTACATTCCCCCCACGTCCTAGTAAACAACGCCACACCAGAAACCTTCCGTATTTTCCCCGAATAAGTAAAATACGGCGGAAACTTCTTATTGTCCCTCAGTAAACAACATAACAGCGGTCTCCATATTTACCTCCGAGTGTCGCCAAACATAACAAAGTTCATCTACTTGTATAAAAATAACCTTAATCTCCCTTCACGTTTGTTTATATTTTGGCTAATTGGGTTAGATTAGGTTAGGTTAGGTTAGGTTACGTAAGACGACTTCAGATTATATTAAATTAGATTAAATTAACCCGTCATATCAAATCAGATCAAAATAACTTTTCACATAACTTAAAAAAAATCCACTTAATAATAAATAATGAATTCTTCTTTCAGCACTTTCTTCCCCCGACCCAGGCTGCCGTGTCCATCTTCCAGAGAACCATTTTAAAACAGTTATCTCCGCCATCTCTTAACTACGACCTTTTCTGTTACAGAACCCGGAAAAAAGCTCTGCCTTCATTCTTCTCATCCCGAGTTTGGGAGAAAAAAAAAACACACCCGGCCAGTTATGAGGAGTTGGGCCTCACGTCGTAAAAAAAAAGAGAGAGAGAGAGAGAGAGAGAGAGAGAGAGAGAGAGAGAGAGAGAGAGAGAGAGAGAGAGAGATCGACTCAGCAGATGGTCGAGGCTGAGTAGGAACTGATGAGGATGAATGTGAAGTGTTGGTAGTGGTGGTAGTGGTAGTCGAGGTGCTGTTCTTGGTGATAATGGTGGCCATGGCAATACTGAGAAATACAGATGACACAACTTTTAGCGACCAATGTTATCTTACAGTGGACAATTTTAACGAGTGTGAAGGATCCAGGGTTGTGAGGCGAGGCTGGCTGACGGAAGAAGGAACACCACCATCTGCAGCAGTGTGTATGAGTGACGGTAGTTGCCCACGTACGGTTCACCAACTCACCTGCCTGATCAACCTGCCTACAGTACCTCCCATTAACTCAGGAAGGGACGGTGTAGGGGAGTGACGCGTTCTGCCACTGCTACGTGTTGTCTCCGGGGGTTGTAGATCAAGTGAGGTTTACTCCTATTAGGGAAACAACCTGATCCAAACCGGATATTTGGATCGAAGGCCCATTAGGAAAGAGGGCCATTAAAACTGGATCCTATTACCTGTAAGACTGCACCAATCTCAGTCCCAGTTAGATATCTGTATGTTAGGCCCCGCTGGAGTCTACCGGTACCGGGGCCCATTTGACCAGTCACCATCTGGAGGAGTAAAGCTAAGTCTAACAACCACCTCAGGAGTTGTACGGTACTGTGAGGCTTTGAACGGTAGCAGCAAGAAAGAGCGTCACTACAGGTAGATGATCGGGCCAACTTTAGTGTCGAGCGTCGCTGTAGGGTAGAGGAGAACGCCATGCATACAGACAAGGCAAGTTGGTATGCAGTAAGGGGAGGAGATTTTGTGTTGTAAGTAGCGATTCGGTTTACAGAGGGAGGGGGTTGTTGAATTCTTGTTGGGAATTGTTGTGTGTGTGTGTGTGTGTGTGTGTGTGTGTGTGTGTGTGGTGTGTGTGTGTGTGGGACTGAACTCAAGGGATGACAGGTGAACATTAAAAGATAAGTGAACCAACAAACCCAACCCAACCCAACCCAACCCATGGACGAGCACCAGGAATAGCGGCAGATTCTCTTGGTGGAAATCAATGGTTTTGATGCTGGGGAAATTAGAGAAGGTGGCGTCACCACAAGACAGATGAGCCAGGAGCTAGATAATGTGTGGGAGGAGGAGGAGGAGGAGGAGGAAACGTCGTGGAAGAAGGAGGGAGGGTATAAAGGAAGAAGGAGGAGGAGGAGGAGGGAATCGCCAAGGAAGGAGGGAGGAGGTAAGTATCAAGGAAGGAGGAGGAGGAAAGTGTCAAGGAAGGAGGAGGAGAGAAGGATCAAAGAGGGAGGAGAAGAAGGAAAAGGAGGGAGAGGGTCAAAACGCAAAGGAAGCATCAATGAAAAAGGAGAAAGAAGGAAGGAAGGAAGAGTTAAGAAAAGAAGGAAGGAGGAGGAGGGAGGTAGAGGGGGCACTAATGTAGGAATAATGGAGTGATCTGAGGAGAGGTAATATTGAAGGGGCGGAAATATAATGACTCACTGTTAGTCTAGTAAAAAATAAATAAAAAATTAAAGAAATTACACGCACCATAATGGGAGGGGGGGCGATAGATTAAGAGGTGATGGTGGGTGGTGATGGTGGGTAGTGGTGGGTGGATGGTGGGTAGTGGTGGGTGGATGGTGGGTGGATGGTGGAGTGGTTGTGGGTGGTGGTGGTGGATGGTGGTGGTGTGTGGGTAGAGTGGTGGTGGGTAGTGGTGGATGGGTGGATGGTAGGTGTGTAGTGGTGGGTGGATGGTGGTGATGTGTGGTGTGTGTGGTGTGGTGGATGGTGGTAACTTACAACCATCTTACAAGACACAAAAAATCACCAGTATTTTCCACCACCGTTACA